TGGACATATTGACCTCAATAGTTGCCAATGGATTTTTATAGTAGTTTGAGTGGCGTGTATCAACGAGTATACATAATTAAACACATTTATGAATCAAGGTCGTCAAGACAATCTTCCGACTTGGAACCCCCTGTGGTTTCAGGGTTAGATAGTCTTAAACAATCTCATTAAATGTATTGCTGTTCTTATATGTGTTTCACCACTTTCGTTGTATCCGACGGGGTTTGATTTTCAAGATGGTTGTAACAGTGATTTACATTGCGTTCATGGAAATTTTTTCTTGCAAATTTGCAGGATATTAGGATTGTATATTTCCAATTCTAACAAATAACCTCTGAATAATACGAAAATGTACACCCACTATTACTAAGAAGAGTAATAATCGAACCTGTAAGCTGTTATTTTAGCGCGTAAACCCAAACCGCGAGTCACAGTGTTGTCCACATCAACTTATCATACTAAACCACGGAGAAAATTTATAGTGGCAAAAATTAAACGGTTTATTGTAGGTTATATCTTACAAGTATTCCACACTAATTGTCTCAGGGAAAGGAAACACAAGTTTCATGATACGTTGCGACCGAAAGCAACAACATATACATCAAATGCCAAAACGAAGCAAAAAGAATCGTAAGGACATATTTCTTTTATCATATCGAGATGCATATTTTTAAGAAGACCCAATCACCCTGTGACTGACTTGGCATCAAATAGCTTGTGAGACCATAGGCGCGAGACACAGGCATACAGTTCTGATTTTCTTCAGATAATAGTAGAACAACCAAAAATATATATGTTTATCCTGAGTTATTTAAAATTTTGAGAAAATTAATTCGCTTGTTGTAGTTTTACGATTGAAACATTTTCTAATCAAAATCTTTGCATATTGATCCCATAATGAATTTATTGATTTCTCTCTGTGAACAGCATACATTTGTCTGGCGCCTTTGATAGTTCTTTTATAACATTTCCAGCCATGACACTTTGTCCCAAGCCACTTCATTACTACCATATCATCGATATTGATAACATCACTGATGATGCTTCACTGAGCAATATTGATAGATCTACGTGTAAAATAATTTGTACACCTCTCCAACTCATTATAAGTCAACCTCACTTGACCCGGGTAGATAAAGATTTCACAGATTCGTGTGACGGGGACAATTATTTCTGAGGAAATGTTTTATTCTCTATTCATTCAAGCACTACCCGCTCAATACTTGCAACATTATGAAAGCAAATATAGTTTAAATGTGATACGTGTTATTGCAAAAATATTTTACAAATCCAAGTCAGGCAGCCTCTTGTAACTAATACATAAGACGTACTTGGGAAGCACATAAACAGATTATTACCATGTGGATTACGCGTAATTGCTGTCAAAAACACGCCGAGCAAATGTGATTATATCACTTGGCGGTTTAGCAAAAATAATAATTACCATCAACATCCATTTCAGATATAATTGTAGTATCCAATTTCGAATCTTCAACCTGATCAGTGTCATTGTGCAATCAAGGTCACCCAACAAATCAATGACAACACAAAATACAAATTAAACAAAAAATGAAATTTGCTACAATTTTATACTCGGTAACGTAAAACGTACTGCTATCTTCAAATCACTGTGCTTCAGCACACTGCGTTATTTACGGTGACTCAATTTTGCCTTGGGGGTTAAGTTTCAATACATTTACAAATTATTTGATTTGCATATATATATAACCTCAGGATTGTGTATAGTCTACTCAAAAACATATGCAATGATTGAATAACTATTACATGCATATATTTACACATAAATATATCAGTAATTTTAATGAAAAAAAAGTACATTTTTCTTAGTAATAGTGACACCTGTTGTTTAGTGTGATGGACCCCCACGGTTGGGTACAGGAGCATAGAATTTTATAATTAAAATTGTTTTCCATAAGAAACATGAAACCATCATACATGGCCTTATAAACAGCCTTTTACTTCATAGTGGGGTGGGTGGAGTAAAGCTGTGATTATTTTTATTACTTTCTGACCATCTGGTTTGCCATTTACCATGTCCATATAAACTAAAGCTCCAGCCAATATCAGATTTGACTACTTGTTTCAAGCTATGGCACTTGGAAATGAGTGTTGTGACATGTGGCAAATGTCCAACTGTCTTGTTAATAAGATTGGCTAAATTTCAACTAGAAACAGGTAAACCAGTATACCTGTATGTATGAAGCCAGTGAATGTTATTCAAG